CAGCATTTGGAAAAGACCTTCCCACCCAGGTGGTAGATGGGATTCGTTGCCACGATTGGATCAGCTCTCTCTCTCTCTCTCTCTCTCTTTCTCTGCAAATGCTTAAGGGTTGATGCTTTTATCGTTGTCTGTATGTATTGTCTGTGTAATAAAAGTATTTGTTTAAATTTTAAATAAGGGTGGATGCTGAGCGCTTGACCTCTGGCCCCAGGATACAATGTCCCTCGTTTCCTAATATTAACTCGTTTTTCAAAGTTTGGCTCCTTCGTTTTACTTTCCAGAACTTTAAAGGGTGCCGGCCGGGGTGTGTGCAGCCTTCCCACCGAATCCGTTCTTCTTTGAAAGACCCTCCCAGTGGAATGAGTTCCTCTGTCAAAGGCTTCCACAATCTCCCACGCATGGATCCCAAGGGCAGCACAGGATTCCAAAGAGGTTCCTACCCATGCGTTAGCTCCCCAGGGACTCCCCTCGTGCAATTCTTTTTAAAAACCACTATTCAAGAGCCGAGGTGGCGCAGTGGTTACAGCGCAGCACTGCAGGCTACTTCACCTGGCTGTTAGCTGCGGTTCAGCGGTTCAAATCTCACTAGGCTCAGGTTTGACTCAGCCTTCCTTCCTTCCTGCCTTCTGAGGCCGAGTCAAATGCGGAGCCAGATGGCTGGGATTGCAGGAGGCCGATTCTGCAAACCGCTTAGAGCTGTAAAGCGGTATATAAGTCTGCTCTTCTTGCAGTATTTTGTGACAACCACAGTGTTTCCTTAAGGGCCTTTTTTGTGGTTTGATAACTGTATATTTGCTATAACTTCAATCCTTTTGCCGCCACAAAGTTACTTTCCAATTTCTTGATATTTCCCAGAATAACATCTTACAAAGCTGGGAAGCTACATGAGAATGTATTTGTTTCCACAGCTAAAAGTGGAGGAAAGGAAAAAAAAAGAGAAAAAAAAACATTTTTTCTCCTGGGCCAGATAGATTATACTTGTCCAGGGAGGCTCTACAGTAAACATGTTGCAAATAACCCATTCAGGATTTTAAACGGTAAAGCTGCGAGGCTTTACTGATTTAACATTTCGTGGCAATGCCTTTGCAACAGGGATGTGGTGGCTCAGTGGCTAAGACGCTGAGCTTGTCAGTCAGAAAGGTCGGCAGTTCCGTGGTTCAAATCCCTAGCGCCACATAACGGAACGAGCTCCCGTGACTTGTCCCAGCTTCTGCCAACCTAGCAGCTCGAAAGCAGGTAAGAAATGCAAGTAGAAAAATAGGAGCCCCCTTTTTTTTTTTTTTTTTAAATATTAAATGTTTTTTAAGTTTTAGTTTAAAACTGGTACAACATCTTTCTTAATATATCAATCA